GGGTTTCTACGATATCAGTATTTATGTTCAGTCAAAATGGACAAAATTGTACTTGCATAAAAAATTGAGAATTGATTTTTCATAGAAGTAGTTTCAAACATATCTTAGCAACTTGTCTACAGAACAAAAGATTCTGGAAATGCTTTTAATTTTTTAAAGAATTTGTAAGGGCCAGGCTTGATGGTGCATGTCTTCAGTACTCGGGAGACTGAGATGGGGGATGACCACAAGTGTGAGCCCATTCTGGCCTATATAATGAGTCCGAGACAAGCTTGGACCTCATCTCAAATTGAAACTAAAAACTAAAACATAAAGAAGTTTCTCCTGGGATAGAGAGATGGCTCAGTATTTAAGAGCACTGGCTGCCCCTCCAGAGGACTGGGGTTTGAATCCCAGCACCCACATGGTAGCTCACAACCGTCCATAACTCCAGTCACAGAAGACCTGACACCCTCTTCTGGCTTCCACGGGCATCTGGCATGCAATTGCAGACAAAACATCTGTACACATTACATAATAAAATAATGTTTTAAAAATAAATTGTCCCCATCACTATTTTGACACCAAACTATTTTTTATTTCTGTTTATTAATATTTATATAGCTTCTCCTTAAATGCAGGAAATTCTAACTCAATACGTAATTGATGCACAACCCCTTAGGTCACAGAACTTAGCTGTGGATGGATGCACACTGGTCAGCATCACTGGTAGGAAAAGTTAGAATCTGGGACAGAAACTGTTGCATGACTTTTTAGCACTGTCTCCAACAAAGGTTCTGGGTTCTTTGGAGGGGAAATCTCTAGATTAGTCATTTTCACTGACTTCAGTTTCAATAAAATAAACACAAAAGTAAGTGCAAAATAATTTATTTTCCTTTTAGTTAGAAACTGATAAAGAAATCTGGATGTAGAAATCCTGTAAAAACTTTTACTCAGAGGTTTATATATTCTTTTTAATACTAAGTATTTCAAGCCCTCGGGTAGGCATAAAGAATGAAAGGAGGAATGGTGTGCCCATCACCCGGCTTCATCAAACTTTACCTTGTGCCACAGTGCTTTCTGACCACTTGCTTTTCCTCCTCGGAGGCAACCATCACCCTGAAGTTAGTCTTTTTATTGTTGGGAATGTTTTTATAGCTCATTTACGTGTGTGCATCCACCAACATCTTACAGCTGTCTGCCTGCTTTATAATTTTACATGAATGGGCTCCTTATCTTTATCTACAGACCCAGGGCAAACCGTTTTGCTCCGTTCAACATTATGCTGGGTTTCATTCAAACTGACCTCATATCTTGATTCTTCCTACTGGCCTTTCTCCCCAGGGGCACTGATTTAACTTCTCTGTGGCTGAAAGACATCATTTTCTCCAGAAATCATAAGGAAAAGGCCTGAAATTACTCAGATTTGCTATCTTCTATTTTCCAAAGCCTGGCATGTTTATCACGGTGCTGAAGGTGTAGGCAAGGCTGCAACAGACCTTAAAGGATTTCCATTTCTTTGGTTATTCTATCTTCTAGAGCAGTGGTTTCCTGCCATTCTAATGCTGAGACCCTTTGATACAGTTCCTCATGTTGCTAGGTGGGGAAAACTATATTGAAGGCTGGAAGAAAGAAGGCGGAGTCAGGAAGAAGCCATGTAGCCCCACCAGAGACAAATGACAAAACTATACCTGGTAAGTCACAGCCTCGTGGCAGTACACAGATTAATGGAAATGGATTAACTTAAAATATGAGTTAGCCAAAACTACGCTTAAACTATTGGCCAAACAGTATTGCAAATAATAAGGTCTCTGTATGATTACTTTGAGGTTGAGCAGCCGAAAACAAACAAGCAACCTCCTACAACACACAACTATAAAATTAACTTTCATTGTTACTTCATAATTGTAATTTTGCTACCATTACGAATCATAATGTAAATATCTGTGTTTTCTGATTGTTTTAGGTAACTTCTGTGAAAGGATTGTTTGACCCTCCAAAGGGGTCGTGGCCCATAGGTTGAGAACCGTTCTAGAATCTGGTGTGCACCTACCGGCTTGTGGACCCTCCCATCCTTTTCAAAGCTAGAAACATGGTGACTCTATGATCCCGTTTCTTTCTCTCATCATCCTTCTTCATGTGATTCTCTCATCTGCCTCCCTCTTTCGCTATCTTTTAAAATATTTTCTTTATGATAAGTGTGCAGGTGATGACACGGATGTGTGTGCCTTGACATGTCCTTTGATGTTGGAGCACAGCTTTCAAGAGTTGATTCTATCCCTCCACCTCGTGTTCCAAGGACGGAACTCAAGCCATCAGGCTCGCATTGGGAGATTTTACCCAATGGCCCATCTCACTTGCACATTCTCTCTGACTTTTAGGAATCCTTTTATTGCAGAGCCAAGCTAAATAACCTAGTGTGGTTTCCTTATTTTTTCTGTAGTTACTTTCATTCCATCTGGAATGCAGTGATACAGCGCATGTTTACAGGTTACAAGGATTGGCACACGGACATCTTCTGGGGTCCTGGTACCAGGCTTATAAGAGCTTACACTCCCATGGGCCTCGTGAAGGCATCTGCTGCCCACATCCTTGCTGTGCTGGGCCTTCCCGGCTCTCCTTGCCTTTTGCTGTTTTGATGGAGTGTGAGATTACTTCTCAGGTTTTGTTTTCAGTCTCATTTTCTTGATTGCTTGTGACACACATACACACAGTTTTGCAGCAGGTCATTTCTTGTCCTGCGATTAGGCCATTCACAGTTTTTGTTTTTACTAAGATGTTTATCTGTCTTTTAAATTCATTTTCTTTACCTTTGCCTAAATTGCCATTTTACCCATTCCTGCCTGATCTTTATAAAGAGTTTTAATTGGCCTTTTAAGAATTATGGGAGGACTGGAGAGATGGCTCAGAGGTTAAGAGCACTGACTGCTCTTCCAGAGGTCCTGAGTTCAATTCCCAGCAACCACATGGTGGCTCACAACCATCTGTAATGAGATCTGGCGCCCTCTTCTGATGTGTGGGAAGCAGAATGTTGTACACATAATAAATAAATTAATTTAAAAAAAAAGAATTATGGGAATCACTAATAGTTCTTTAACATAACTTTTCCCTCAACAGCCTTTTGAGTGTGTGCATTCCTGTGAATGTATATTTCTGTAGGTACATGTTTGTGTGTAGACACCTTGGAAGTCAACCTCTTGTATAATTACAATCATCCAACACATTTTTAAAAAGATTCACCTATTTTTATGTCTTTATGTGAGTCAGCATAAGTTTATGTGTATCACATGTACTTGAGGAGGTCAAAGGGACATAGGGTCCCCTGGAACTGGGACAGATGGCTATGAGCTGACTGATGTGGGGGTCCTGGGAACCAAAGTCTTGTCCTTTGACAGGTAAGGTAAGCATTTTTATCCAGCTGTTCCACACTGATTTTGGAGCCAGGGTCTCTCATCGGCCTTAACTTGCCCGGTAGGCTTTCGCTGTCCGGCCAGGAGGTCCCAGGCACCCTCTCCCTGGCACTGGCTTAGGACTGCCTGCATCACCACGCCAGGCTTTTCTGGAAAACAAATCTAGGTCCACATCCTTAAGAGAGAAGCGCTTTACTAACTGAGCTTTCTACACTGCCCTTTAAACAATATTTTATTGTCTCATATTGCCATTTCTTTCTCATAGGCCTTAAGGATGGTTCCAAGCATAGCTTGTTTTTAGCTGCTACTTCAAATAAGTGAAGCCCTCGAGCAGGGGCTTAATGCCTTTCGACTTTTTGTTGATTCTTCTTGATGATGTACTATTCCCTCGGATGTCTAGATATGTTTAGCTGTGAATTCATTTTTACGGTGGTGGTTGGTATATGCACGTGCTTTCCAGACGTGGAAGGGCAAGCCTCTTCTTACAAACTCTTAGGGCTCTTGTGGTACTCAGTCAGGGAAAGCCATGCAAGGAGCAGAAAGAGGAGTTACCCATGGAAATCCAAAAGGTGGGCTTCTGAGAGGCCTACTTGAGGGTCCCCTCACCCTCATGGTTGGTTGGTTTGGATGGCTTTGACTGATAACCACCCCCACCATGGGACTGTGGAGTGATGTCAGCTCAGGAGCTGACCCTCTGGGCTTTATTCCTTCTAGATCTTTGGCCACTACACATTGTTGCTTTTATTTAGAGCCATCTGAATACTTTAAGTTTTAAACCATTATTCTTATGACGTCAACACGTATCTAGGTATTTAGCACAGGTAGAACGTCCAGTTCTCTCTCTCTCTCTCTCTCTCTCTCTCTCTCTCTCTCTCACACACACACACACACACACACACACACACACACACACCAGTCGTCCCTAATTTAAATTTAAAATAGGATCTTTGCCTCTGGGTTTTATTGGACATTTCCACCCAATGTTAGAATGAATAACACCCAAGCTCATGAAGCCAGCTCCCAGCTACCCTTTTTTTTTTTTTTTAGCGGTTTACTTAGTTGCACGTGTTTGTTAGTTGCAACTCCAGAGGAGTAAAGACAAGGGAGCCAGGATGGATTTGATGTCTAGAGTCACAGAAGTTCTTCATATGTCAGATTATTGTGAAGTCACAGAATCATTTCCAATACCTCAAACTTGAGAAAGTGTCCAAAAGGAAAGTGAAAAGAGTTTTCTCTAACTTAAGGGGTGAGGGAACAATCAAAGCTCACACAAAGTGCCAAAATGAATGCCTCGCACCTCTGGGTTCCCCACCCCCCACAGTGCTACCAATTCAGGTTACAGCAGCTAAACTTCATGGGGACCAGCGAAGTCCTGCTTCCCTCCCCCCCTCCCCTAATTAATCTGCCTTCAGTGTGGACCTTTGTGGTTTAACATTGTGCAATCTCTTCTTCGGCTCCCTTGCCCTCCCACCCAACCCCCTCCCCCAAATCCAGGGGAACTCCCTCGCGCTGTGCCACCGGCATTACTCATGCATCCCGGTTCAGGCTTTGGAGCCTTTATTAAGGGCTTTCTCTCCAGCCTCCCTCTATCTCTCCCGGGCTCAATTTCGGCTCACTGAAGAGCCCGGCTTCCTCCCCTAAGGCAGCTGCATAGCGAACTCCATCTCTCCCGCAATGCTTTTCCCTGCGATTCTGCTTTGTGCTTTCTGGTCTGCAGTGTTGGCTGAGACCTCTGACGACTATGAGCTCATGTACGTGAATCTGGACAACGAAATAGACAATGGACTTCATCCCACCGAGGACCGTAAGTTCATTTAAACTTTCTCAGCTCACCCCAACTACACAACTCGCATTTGGGGCGCGGGTGTGTGTGTGTAAAATGACATATATATTCTTAGTAGCCAATGAAACAAGTTAAAATCGTACTTTGTTTTGTAACAGTGAGGACTACCTGAGAAAAGCCAGAGGTTTTAAATTATTTTTGCAACATATATAATGAATTAGAGCATATGAAATCACTGTTCTTTAACTGTTTTTAGCTACATGAATGGCAATTCCCCAGAGTTAGGTTAAACGTGTCCCGTTTAAAAAAATGGTTGCTGTGTCATTTTTGAGTTAACACGCTCGCTCGCTCGCTGTTTTCAGAAAGAGGAGGTTTGCTGGGGACAGGCTGAAACTTGGGGTGACTGAGGGTGCAACCCACCGGCTGGGGCAGGCTGGTAACGTTGTGTGTGTCCCGCGCTCCAGCCACGCCATGCGACTGCCGCCAAGAGCACTCGGAGTGGGACAAGCTGTTCATCATGCTGGAGAACTCGCAGATGCGGGAGGGCATGCTGCTGCAGGCCACCGACGACGTCCTCCGGGGAGAGTTGCAGCGGCTGCGGGCCGACCTGGGCCGGCTGGCGGGCGGCATGGCGAGGCCATGTGCTGCCGGGGGCCCTGCGGACGCCAGGCTGGCGCGGGCCCTGGAGCCGCTGCTGCAGGAGAGCCGCGATGCGAGCCGCAGGCTGGCACGCCTGGAGGATGCGGAGGCGCGGCGGCCCCAAGCGGCAGTGCCTGGCTTGGGTGCAGTGCTGGAGGAACTGCAGCGGACGCGTGCCGACCTGAGCGCGGTGCAGAGCTGGGTCGCTCGCCGCTGGCTGCCAGCAGGTAAGCGCCAGGCACAGAACCCACCATCGGCTTTGTCCCTGGAGTCCGCGGCACTTAATCACATCAGGCACGCTTTAGTGGGGACCCTCAAACTCAGAGCCCTAAAATTTTTCATATGCACGTTCACAGAGCTCAGACACACCATACAAGACAGACACATTGCCTCTGAAAAGTGTTTCTCAGCCCGAGGAAACAAAAGAAAGCGGGGATTTAACAGTCAATCTGGAAGTAGACGTCAGAGGTCCCTGATACCGGATCCAAACAGATATTAGAGGAGCTCCATTGGCAGGTGTTTAACTGTGGCCCTACTTGCTGCCCCGAGTCCCTCCGTTAGGGATTTCCACGTTTTCTAATTTTATCCGGTCTCTCTCTTTAGGCGAGCTCTGATTTCCCACACTACTTCAGGGCCAGGGCTTACTTCAGCGACTTTCCCAACCTCTCTATACCGACTCCTCCCCTTCGGCTTCATCTGAGCTGACTTGAGCCTAATTGGGTCTCCTGCAGAGTCAGCAGAATTCCGCCAGGGTTTCCTCAGCCCAGTTAGTTGCACTGTGAAGGTCAAGGAATGTGGGCTTTGGAATAAGTCCTGTAAAGTCAGGAACAGGAATTAGGGATGGTATACGACCACTCCATCTAGACCCCAGGACCACACAAGAACCCGGCTGTACAGACTGTGCAACTTGTCAAAGCCCACACTTCATAAAATCCACAACTGTGTAGGGCCCCCAACGTCACACTTTTAAAATTAAAGAAACAGAACATTGGAGCACCGGAATAGAATAAGAATTTGGCTTCTTAAGTCAAATTTCTGAGGAGGTAGTGATATATTGTGGCTTATTCTAGAAATTAGTGTCTTAGGTAGAAAAATATCCCTTCTCATGAGTCTCAGAAACAATGCCAACCTATCCCGTATTTCCAAGGAAATGAAACTTATTGACCGAGGTAGGAGGAAGGACAATCTAGGGCACGGCCCATTCCTCTGCAGAACCTTCCCAAATATTTGAGGACTATTTGTCAGTATGGAGGCTTACGGCCTTAAACCTAAGTAGGTCTTGGGAGAAAAAGCATAAAGTCAATTCGGAAGTAAACCTTAAATGTGGTAATTCTTCGACAATTTTAAACACATAAATGTTTGTTTTGCAAACTGGGTAAAGTCACGTACATACAAAGTATCCCCCTGCACACACACCAGAAAGAGTTCCTCTAATTTGTATCCTTACCTATGCCAGAAGAGGGATGTATACTCCCCAATTCTAAACTGTTGATGTCTATTATACCCAATAACACTTTCACACACGGGCTTTGATTTGCCCTCCCTTGCTGTCCTGCCAACTTGGCTCTCAGAGGGTTCCTAATCATGCTGTGGTCTGCCTCCTAAGAACCTGGTTTTCATTTCACTTGGTCTTTGATAATATAATTACAAAGTCTTATTAGCTAAAAGCCATTTCATGAGAGAGTTTCTGACATTTCAAAGGGGTCCCAGGAGGCTCAATCACTGTTTCATAAAAAGAATTCCACAAAATCTGCCTACATACTACTCTGCAGCATGAACCCAAGTAGCTGCCGCAGCCTACAAGGATGCTGGGTCTCCCAGACATAGTCATGAGTAGCTGTGGAATGCAATCCTCACTTCCTGACCTTATTTAAACAGGAAGGCAGATAATTAGATTGTAGCGGGTGCCTTCTTGAACAGTACTTTACTTAAACTTACAGAGGCCAGGGGATTTCAAATGCACACAAATGGTTATCTATGGTTTCCACAACTATTATTTGATTTCATTGTGGCAGCGAGAGCGATAATTCCACCTTGAAAATGCCTCATTTAAATTTCTTTTCCATGGATGCTTAGCATGTTCATCTGATGCTATTAATTGGGGGCATTGCTATTGTTTTTTGCTCTTCTGCAATTTTCCTACATTTCAAAAGTTTCTTTGACTATTACGAAAAGATATGGCCCATGTTTGTCTGGTGTTTTCTGGACAGAATCTAGCTCAGAGCCACGTGTAGGAATTTGCTGCACTTTACAGGACATTGAATGTCCACAAGTTCTGTTGATTCAGCAGTTAGTGTTTAAGTGCTTGAGGGGTTGACTAGCCATCTCGCACCATGTCCTTTGGGTTATTATTGCTTGAAAATCCAGCCCGCTGTAGTGTTTTCAGATGTAACATGAAGCAGAGCCCATCTGGTCAAGGCTTTAGCCTTTCTAGGTCTTTACTTCCACATCTTAGCTGCCCATATGGCCTTGAGATTAGCAGAGGTGAGAACAGATGTGTCCTCATCCTATGTCCAAATGTCCCTGTCTTCTGGATATTCTTAGCAGAAACACAATCCGTAACAAAATCTTTTGGAAGAATCCCTCTTTTAAAAGGGTTTTCTATAGTGATGTAACTAAGTTTTAAAGCAAATCCTTGGCCTTCCCGGATTTGAGTACTGTGTACATGTAACTTACAGACTTGAAGAAGAGAGCTCCGCCCCACACACTTTAAATATAGATAACACTAAGGCCTGGTGAGATTATAGGCTTCATAAAAGGCTGCATCATACTCACTAGCAGTTAATAACTCAGAATCCAGGGCTTCTAGTAACAGACAGTAGAATGTGTTGGCCTCTGTAAACAGACTAGCCAAACTAAAGCCCTAGTTTACGAATGTATCAGCTCTAGAAACATAGGTAAGTTACTTCTTGCCTCAGTTGTATCCCTATGAAGTAGGAATAGACTGACTTTAAGAGCAAGAAGGAGGATGCATTAAGATCATGAAGAAATTGATTAGAACACCGTCTGAGACACAACGAGCACTTGATAAACATTCGTTATCCTTGTTTGCTGTGCTTCTGGTCAAGGGTGCTTTGCAAGTCAGCCCTGATGATGTGCACCAATGAATTCAGTCCCTCGGAGGTGGAGACAGGAGAAGCAGAAGTTCAAAATTATTGCTAGCTATCTGCCGCCCCCTCCCCTTGAGGTCAGCTTAGGCCACTTAAAGGCTTATTTGAAAAGGCCAGTAATAATAGTAGTAAAAGAACAGAGCAGTTTTCTATAAATTCCGCAAAGCTACCAATATCCAAGATCACGTGGTACATAAAAATGTATTCCCTGGTGACATTACTATTCTAAAAGACATGCTAATAATGACTGCCTAGAATGAGCTATGTCCTTTAAGTTTCGTAGGTTTATTGTTTAAGGATCACAGCAAAAATAAGAAGGAAATGGGGGTGGATTTTAAATCCTCGCAGATAATAAAATCTTGCGAAGCTAACTCATTGTTTTTTGACATTTTAATAAAAACCAGTAAAACTGAGAAGTGGATTGGAAGGGAATGGTTATTCGCCATGGTTTTTGGTATTTGTGGGTTGAGTTGGCACTTCCCTTCTGTTTGCAAACTCTTTTATTGGGTTGGTTTCACTGAAAAAGTCAAGTAACTCTTCCTCACTTTTATCCTCCGTGCTCTGTAGAGATAAACTGGAGGCCCCGCAAGTCATAACACACTACTGTATATAGTTGTATGTATAGCTAACGTGCTTATGTTAGCATAACCGAATACCAAAATAACCGAATGAATCAGAACTTTTTTTCTCGTGTTCTTTCTTGCTACTCCAGGTTGTGAAACAGCAATTTTATTCCCAATGCGGTCCAAGAAGATTTTTGGAAGCGTGCATCCTGTGAGACCAATGAAGCTTGAATCTTTTAGTGCTTGCATCTGGGTCAAAGCCACGGATGTATTAAACAAAACCATCCTGTTTTCTTATGGCACAAAGTGGAACCCCTACGAGATCCAGTTGTACCTCAGCTCCCAGTCCCTAGTGTTTGTGGTGGGTGGGAAAGAGAATAAGCTGGCTGCAGACACTGTGGTTTCCCTGGGGAGGTGGACCCACCTCTGTGGCACCTGGAGTTCAGAGCAGGGGAGCATGTCCTTATGGGTAAACGGGGAGCTAGTGGCCACCATTGAGGGGATGGCCACGAATCACCCTGTCCCTGAGGGTGGACTTCTACAGATTGGCCAGGAAAAGAATGGTTGCTGTGTAGGTGGGGGCTTTGATGAAACATTAGCATTTTCTGGAAGAATCACAGGCTTCAATATCTGGGATCGTGTTCTCAGTGAGGAGGAGATACGGGAGTGTGGAGGAGCCGAGTCTTGCCACATCAGGGGAAACGTCGTCGGGTGGGGAGTTACCGAAATCCAGCCACACGGAGGAGCTCAGTATGTTTTCTAAGTATTGTGAAACTCTACTTGAAGCCAAAGGAGACTCATACTTTAAATGTAGGCTGCTCGGGAAAGCCTAAAAGCTCCAGTGTGTATTATGAACACTTGAGACTAATGAAGGAGAGACTTGAGATTATCTTTATTTATCTTGGCAAAATACTGAATAAACAGTTGAAGGAGAAGGCTTGGGGGCATTGTTACTAAGCCTTCTGCTTGTGGTGCCTTCAGATTAATGTCTGCCTCTGTCAGAGATATCCTCAGATCACTGAGCAGGACTGGACTCTGAACAGAAGGATGATTGTGTTCCTTTGCTTTGGTTAATTTTGTTTTGGCCAGAGACATTTTTTATGCTGGAAGAATAACAAAACAAGCTCTGTTGCCCACTGCTCATTCCTTATGGCGTACCCTGTGACAAGAGGGAGGGCGAGAAGGACATATTTATACCACAAAGTGACTTATTAACAAACATAAATGTAGCCTGCGTGTTAGCAGCCAGTGTTCCATGTGGGAGAGACAGCTGTGTAACTTATATTGTGAAATGGGTTTGTATTAATTTTATTTTTGTAAGACTCTACTGTAAATAAAATATTTTATAAAGCTATCCCATGTCGCCCTCTAATTGAAGTTTAAGAGCTGCTTTGAAGCAAATCCACGTTTTTTTTTTCCTATTTTTTCATCTAGAGTAGGCAAGTCGCTTTCAGAGACTGTGAAAGTAGCAATCGTTAACATTGCTTAGAAGCGAACTCTACTGCTGTCCTAAGCTTTGGTGTCCCTCAGATTGTAAGAAATTCTAAATGCATTCATCTATCCAGGCTTTAGTTTTTTTCAGCTATGGAACTGAGAAAGAAATGATTTAACAAATCCATGAGCTTGTGCAATTTTCTACCCTGCCGCGACACAAACATACATGTATTATCTGACTTCTCCAGGCAGACATGCCATGTGTACACGACAGCAAGATGCATGCTCTTGACATTGCTCTTGACATTGCCACATAGAGCTGCCATCTACCAAATTCACAGTGAAGAATTGAACAATCGAATTATCAGAAAAAAATGGAAAAATGAAAGCATTCATCACGCTTTAAGTAAGTTGGAATTTGGTGCATTTATGGATCTTCTGGGAGGGTGTGTGGCCTATGGGCCACCTGCAGGACACACATGGTAGGGCTACCAAAGAACCATCAGTCTGGAAAATAAGCAAGGCCTATTCACCCTCTGCCTTACAAGGGAAAGGCCAACCCTGCATTTTCAGCAGTCCTGGTAAGACCTCTGTCAAATCATCTCCTCTTAAGAATTCTAGGCAAGGACTTATAGAACCTCTAAAACTTTCACAGAAATACCATGGAAACAAAGTAAGCATCGATCCTAAAGAGACAGTTAAAGAGCTATGGGACATTCCTGCTCTTGTGTGGTGAGCGGGGCCAGGGATGGATAAATCTGTAGCTCTCTAGCTGAGCTTCCTTACACATTTGCCTTGGTCTTCTCAGTAAAAGAAAGGAACACAGACCCAGGGGCTTTCAGAAACAGCTCCATGAGTCTAACAGGTTTGAAGGAGGCTCATGGAATCATGTTTCATCCAGGTCTTGAAGTCTATAAAGTTAGGCCTCTGAGCCTGCGAACTGAAACACAGGCCAGTCTTCCAGTCTCGAGAATTATACAACTCAACATTTCTGATACATTGGCCCCATACTAAGCCCCTATCTAGCTAGTCTCTGTATGACTAAATTTTCATCTGGAAGCAATACCAGACCCAGCCTTAGAGAGTTAGCCATGTGCCTGCACAAATTAAATCTGTTTAAACACCTCAGAAGATATGGGTCGAGATAAGAACAAATTCATATGCCGACAATATTAACTGGTTATTCTAATAAGCATTTATATGTGAATCGCATAGCGACACTTTGTGAACGTCAACAAAGCAAGTTGATGTTTTCTTTGTCTTGTATTGCAAAAATTGGCTTTTATGTATTAATTATCTTTTATCAAGAGCATTTGATTAGTAAGTATTTATCTTGGGATGCCAATGCTGACCAAATCAGCTGTGATTGAGGGCAATGAAGAAACAAACAAAAGAAAACAAAGATGTCATGGGGTTATAAATGCAGACATTTCATCTGCTAAGTGAGACTGGATGGGTATTAATACAAGGACTTTTGATTGTTCTCTTATCTCAACCTTAACTCTTTCCCGAAGTAACAGAACTCCATCGTTAGTGGTTTACACAGCAACTAAGACACTAGGGTTTCTCAGCATTACTTTCCCAAGTTCTGGTCGGTGATAAACTACTTCCTGTACACAATCTATGTGTTTTATCTATCTAGTTTTTGTCTGTTTCGAATGTGGTAATAGTGGCTAGAATTCCAACAACTATATCACAGCATAAGATTTGGAGCAATCATATTGAAGAAGCCAAGGTTTCTGGGAATTGTGAAGCCAACTCTGGACTGCTTTCCCCTGGATTTCTTTGACACCGGAGAAAAATACGCCAATCTTTTAAAATCCATTATTAGTTATCACAATCTAATCCAGGTTCAGTAATTTGGAAAAAACAAACTTAAAAAGACAATGTACTTTATTTTCTTTCAAATTCTCAGCATGCAGATGAATTTTGTTGCCTTTTTTACAAATTCTCAGGACACTAGCTGAAAAACTAATCATCAATACTTAAGGAATTTCAGAATGTAAGGGTATCAGCAAGAAGAAATAAGCAATTTGCAGAACTGAGATCAAATATCCCCGAAGAAATACCAGCTTGCTGGCATGGTTCAGCACCGTGGCACATGGTTCTGTCCACTGTGTTGTTATTGAGGGTGTTGTCACATCACAGTGCAACATAATTGTACAAGATGGCTCAGGTCGTTAGGACGCAAACACATGTGTCACTAATATATAATAACATCTATTATACATGGTTAGTATTATTACTGGTATAAAGTAGAGTGACTAGGTTTCCTGGACCTGTTCTGGCGTTTTCAAAGTTTCCATGTCCCTGGGCAAACTGGGACAGTTGGTCACTCTAGTGTGTATTTATATATGATTAGCAGGGTGACATTTTGTGTACACGAGCAAAGCATAGTTGATGTTTTCCTTGCCGATTACAGTAACAATCGACCTTTAAGCATTAACAATTTTATATTTAGAACATTTAATTTTTAAGTATCTATTATAGGATGTCAGAGTTTGGGTTTAGAGTTTGGCGCTTAATTGACTTCACACTAGTGGGAACACAGCTGACAAACAGGAAGATCTTATGATTGACTTTTATTTAATTCCTTCCCTATTCACATGTTAGGAAGTGCTTTATTTGAAACACATGCCAGGATCAGATATTTCCAGAATATTTGATTGTCTTTTAGCCAGTCAAGAAGCAGAATTCCTAACTGCAAATGCCTTGGCTAAAGCAATTGTGCATATTGATTTATAGTATTCTTGGGCTTTATGAATATGAGGGTATCAGATTATTGATCCTTGCAGCTTGATCAATCTGAAGTGCAGAAAAAAGCTTGCCAGGGCTTCAGGCCAGAAAGCCAATGTTTAAACCCTGGCACCACCAAGTACGAGCTTACTAATTAGGAGACACACTCAACTAATCTCCACACATCTCAAATTATATAAACAAAACAAAATCCCTAAGCAGATATCAGACATAAAAGTGTTTTCTGCCTCATCAAATCACTTTTGAAATGAGATATGTCTTAAGATATTCCCCGGCGTTATTCCCATGTGCTAAAGCATAAATAAGCAAGGGAGTAACACTGTAACAAAGAAACTCCTCCACACTGTGGCTGGTATTTCAAGATCAGCACGCAGACATCCAGGCTGTGCAGGTTTCCTTTACCCCACAGCAACACCTGCTGGCGAAACAAGGAAGGTACAAACGCACTGGCACCAGCCCCGACAGCCACGGGGAAGTCCTTTTCTCTCTGGGGGCCTCTCTATGTCTCAAACCATGATTGGATCGACTTTTTAGCATGCTATATCTAATCCTTTCCTACTCCTGTCAACATTCAGGCTGAATATTTGTAATAGGACTTCAATTTAGGGGATGAGACTTTATTCCTTCCGTAGTAAAAATCGGTCTGCTTGGGATCATGTAAAATTAGTAAAATCTTATTCAGACAAAGGTTGTCTACAAAAAAATCATAAAGAAACACTGAATACCCTCCCTTGGGTTAGAAACTAAGACAAGAATAATTGTGCAAGGGTGACTTGGGTCACTAGGATGGAAATGTGCGTGCAACAAGCATATAGTAATGTCTACGGTTAACCTTGCTACTTGTGAGAAGTAGGGCTAGCAGCTTTCCCCTAACAGGGTGTGAAATAGTAAACTTAGAACCTTTCCTTTAGCAAAATGATGTCATGGGTTTTGCATGTGTGAGCCGTGTGTGCGTGTGTATGTGTATGCATGTGTGTGTGTGTGTGTGTGTGCATGCATAGAGGCTAGAGGAAGGCATTGGATATTCTCTTTTATCATCCTCTGCCTTTCTCCTTTGATAAGGGTTGTCTCTGTGTGAGCATGAAGCTTGCATTTATTAATTTATCCTGCTAGGCTGGCAGCCGTCGAGCCTCAGAGAGTCTTTCTCCTCTCTCTGCCCCACACACTGCTGAGGTTACAGGTGAGTCAAGACCATGGTTTGCTTGTTATATGTGAGCTGGGATCCAAAATCAGGTCCTTGTGGTTATACAAGCTCCTTCTCTCTCTCTCTCTCTCTCTCTCTCTCTCTCTCTCTCTCTCACACACACACACACACACACACACATTTAATTAGGAATGCTCTTATTCTAACAAAGGGCGGCTACAAAATGAACCTAGACTAAATTATAATAAAGAAAAACAGTCGATGCAAGGTCCTTGGATTAAAAATGAAGACGAATATGTCACAGGAAGGTGGAATTTACGTTCTGTCTAAGTTGCACCATGTGTGATTTTAGATTATACAACTTCAGAATCTTGTTCTGAATAATCCTCTAGACTTGTTCTGTGCCATGAAAGTGGACCATGCTGCTTGTCCAGGATCAGAAGACGGAAGCACACTCGGTGCTCAGAGCAGTGTGAATTACCTTATCTTATGCCCATGAAGCGGATGCTGTATTCTAGAAGGCCTATAAAACATGTGTCTTCCACTTCTCATGGTTATTTGTGGGTCCCAGAGGAAGAAGCCCTTTGCAAATATTGACTTGTAACTCAGTCACGCTGCGCCCGTCCCTGCTATTAAATCTGCACGCGCTGTTGTCCTGTCCTCTCCCTCTCCAAAACAGAGGTAAGGACGGAAATACCCGTCTCCGTCCACAGACCTTTTATACCGGCCCCTTGCACAAGTCACAAGGCGACCTCGAATGATTTGAAACTTAAGTAGAAAATCTTTAAGAAAATAAAGTGTTACCTCAGCAAGAGTCCAGATTCCTTTCTGACTTGCTGGCAACAGCCTGGAAAAGGCTGACCAGCTAATTATGATAAATTTACCTCATTTCTTTCCCTACGTGACACAGAAATCCAAACCACTAAATGCTGAGCTGTCTCGGACAAATGGA